TTAAATATTAATTTGATGTCACTATATTTGATCAAAGTACATTTTCCTTGTTTGATTACAACAAAATTGAGACAAATTTATTAATATTTAATATTTCAGAATTTGAACTTTAAGACTCTCATATGCCTAATTTATCTGATTAAAATTTTAAATTTGTAAAATTTGTATTAAGAAATCAAAACTTTTTGGTAATTTTGTCGCGAAAAAGAAACACAAATGAAATATTGACATCTTCAGCGACAACGAGCTCAAACTTGTTTCTTAATATTCTAAATGATGGAATTGAACCGGTTAAAGCTTTTAAAAGGGAGAAGAGACATAATCCCGTCCAGAGAACTTTCCCACCATCTCCTCTGAGTCGTACACATCTACATCCCCTTACTTCGTACGAGGATAAAAAAAAAGAAAAAAAAAGTAACTAAAAGGTCACGTAAGAATGAGGGACAGCCACGTGTAGAGTCAACCGGCACGTTGTAAATTGGACTATCGCATTTGCACGAAGATGTAAGACTGATTTGCTGATGTAACAAACGAAAAGACGTAAGAAGTTTCAAGCCAGCTGGCACTTCATTGTGCAGTATGACCATAAATCGTTGCCCGAGAAGATACTATCTGGAAAAAAGATTGCGAAATTATCCCGCAGGATATCCTTTAATAATAAAGCAATTATTAAGGGAGAAAAGCGACGCGTATAAATCTCATTATAAATTATAAGGAAAAGTTATTTTTTCCCGGGGAATGACATTTGGCTCATACTATATATTAATACATACTATTATAACTAATCAGCAGTTATTTGTTAATAACAAATGCTACGAACGACGTCGCAAGTTGAAATTGTCGCATCACAGCGCGATACAAAGCAATACTCGCGGCCTCGTTTAAATGTTATTATAATTAATTACGAATGCATGGGTAAGTTGCGAGCGGATATATGTTTTACGCATGAAAGATTAATCCTATACAGTATAATATTTGTTCTTTTTTTACACGGAAATGTGAATGACCTGCCCGTATACATTTATATTATTAAATATAATTTATATTATACTGCGAATATATATGCCGTATATAATATGTATACATATATAATGATATATTTTATAACGAATTCGAAGTTACTGTGCAAATAAAGAAGTCAGATGTGACAGTTATTAAAAAAAAAAAAGCTGAAACTCACCAAAAACTCTCTTTGTGATTATTATATTAATCTATTAAATTTTATTGCAGCGTGTAATTCTCAGCGAACTTTTGAAACTTACCGAGGCGTCCGTTTAAAACGTTGTTTATACTGTCGAGGGTTAAATGTGAATCGAACCATTTATATGTCTTTCTAAAATATATTGTGATAAACACAATAACGGTCGAATGTGACAGCGGCGGTGACGGCGATAGCGCCGTTAATCACGTTTTTACAGTATATGAGAATTTTATTAAGAGCGTTACAAAGATTTATCTGTCGTTTTTTTTGTATAGAGTTATTCCTACAGACTAATTATAGAAGAGAGAGAGAGAGAGAGAGAGAGAGAGAAAGAGAAAAACAGTACAAGTTCTTTCCTGGAAGAAGAAGCTAAATAGTAATACTAAATATAAATATATATATATATCATGATATGTGTAAGATAGATTAATGTCTAACGACAACCTCTCGAGGCGTATCCCAAGTGATGGTCCCACGTCGTAAAAGAGAATTGGAAAGAGTCCAAATGATAACGAAAATTCAATTATCGATAAGTTACTGGATGGCTAACGTCTCATCGCTCTCGCTTGCGTGACGCGAGCGATTAAAAAAAAAAGAAAAAAAAGAAAAAAAAGCGTGTCCCGTTGATTGTCTTCATTATTTATCCATTATTTGTAGCGATTGATTTTTCGACAAAGCGAACGTTGACAGGGTCGATCTGCGAAACGACGTTACGTACGCGGATGTTGCAAATTATATACCGTTGTATACCGCGGAGCATGGTCTTGTTTTACGCGTTCCCGTTTAATTGCTTTGGCAGTCAAAGAAAGATTTTCTGATCTCATAAATGGTTTCTCCATCTTGTGACAGTAAAGTACGGAAATCGACGGAAGATTGTCCAGTATTCTGGGAGTAGACGCTTGCGAATGTGCATAATTGTATCACGATGGGTCGAGTAGACTTTAACCCTTAATAGTATATTATGATTTAAATACAAAAAATTTAGAAAGAGAGTGTTTTTTTTTACTTGATCTGGATTAGAATCTCTCAGATTGAAAGCCACAAAAATTTTTCAAAAGCTCATTCGGTGATCAATATGAATATGAAATTGACAGGAGATTTTCGTAATGTCTTACATGTACAAAAAAATATTCCCCTTTTTATATATTACTATTCAGGGTTGACTTAAGTTACTGCGAAGACAAGGATTGATGATGTGCGCGTCTCATGGCGAAAGAGTAGAAATGAGAAGGACAGTTTCTTGTAAAGTTAAAGAGACAGAGAAAGAAAAAGAGAGGACAGATAATATTCGTGATGTGTGTCGCACAGCAACGATTTGCGCGACGCTCGCTGTGCTTTGGATATTTTTGTACTTT